AAGAGATTTCCAAGAGAATTGTACAATGAAAAATCATTTCTTAATAATTCATAAATGAAATACAATATATACAGATTTTTAAAATTTAAAAAACGAATGTACTATGTAGGTTAGTTTTGATAACATATTTTATGGTCATTGAAATCGGTGATCACGATCATCTAGTTTTTCCTATTCTTTTTCTTTTCGTAAATCGCTATTTATAATTGTGTTATATTATTTTATTACTTTCATTTTTATTATTTACATACATGTTGGATATAATTAGATAGATCACTTTATATATGGTTACAATTATACTATTTGTGTATTTTTCTTTTTATAAATCTGATGAAAAGATATATCATCTTTTTTTCATCTTTATAATTTTTCATATGATAAACAATTTTTATAACTTTAATATTAGTAGTAACAACTAATCATTTCAATATTCAACTTTCGCCACTTGTCAACTATTCTCAAGTGCTTGAAGAACGTAGAAGGATAATGGTGGTCGTCGCTCTTGTTGAGGGATAAAATCCATGAAGTCTAAGATGATATAAAGATATGATTTTATTATTTCAACAAAATTTATCACAACATTATATGTTATTATATCATTATATTAAATTTATTATATTAATAATTTATATTATATAAATATTATTATATTAACATTATTATATTATGTTATAATTTATCACAACAAAAAAGAATTAATTAATTTTTAAAATTAAAATTTAGATCAAAAAAATGAAAACGACCAACATGTGATGAAGTATTAAAATTATTCGCTATACAATAGCTGTAAAGGGTGATAATATTATTTATTATACTTGTGACTTTGTATTAGAAGCAGTTTATATGTTACTATGCAATCAAATCTCAAAAGACAAGTAACTTTTGACAAAACATGCATTTTGTGCAATATGTGAAAGCTTTTCCAAGTATAAAACAGAAAGAATATTCGTTAAAAAATTAAAAATTTTGTCGATAACTTATGTCGTAGCTACGGATTATGTGCAGTTGTGTTTCAAATGTCAAAACTCATTTTAATTTTAATTCATTACATTTGTACTCAAATTGTTAAAAATTTGATTGTTTTCGAATTCAGTGCAATGAAGATGTATCAAAGAGATTTCTAGAGATTTGAGAATATTCTATTATAATGCGTATAATGCTCGAATATTATTATCGTACGTACTTTTATGTACGAACATTTTATGAAACAAAGTTATTGTAACGTGTCATGCAAATATTATTTACTAAATAAAAGGAAAGTAATTTTTTTTTTTTTAAATTAAATAACAGACTATTAATTAGTTTCTTACTTATTACGTGATAAAAAGTATGTTTTAAATCTTTGAAACATTTCATGGCCGCGCACATTTTTAACAATACATATAAAACCGATATCATCTCTGTGTTACAACTTGCTTATGCACATTGCTTCTCTTCTTTTTACTCATTTGCAGTCTAAGGAGATGATGAGTTCATCTCGATATATTTTCACAGGAAATTACATCAACAAATTGAAATCAATTTTGAAGAAAATTGTACTTCTTGACAAATTCATTAAAACGCATAGAAATATTCGATGTTTACGAGATATAAGGACCACACGTCCTGTATGTATAGATGCGCGAAAGATGCTATAAATGCAATGATTCAAGAAAGTAAGAAAAATTAAATACTTTGGAAATAAAAATTAAATACTATGGAAATAAAATATTCCGATATTGAAGAATCTAAGTTGATGGTCGAATTACTTCAAATTAAAACCAAGATAAAATCCTCCCTTACAAATAAAATAAAAAAAAAAATTGTTAAGTTTTTTGTATTGCAATTTTTTTGTGGTGAAACGTTGGCATGGAAACTTCTGAAAATCAAAGAATGTAATATTTTTTAAATAAATGTTGAAGTAGTATTTCGAAGTTATGTATATTATTGATTGTAAGTATTGATGACTATAGACATATCGTGTAAATATTAGGATATCCTAGTGACTTCGAATGAAACTTTGTTTCGAGGCAATTAAATTCTGTCGTGTTGGTATTTCTGTCAATTTGTTCGTCACCTGAAGGCATAAATTTTAGTTTTTAATTAAATAATTAATATATTATTATCAAGAAAACTATGTAATAATGTAACAATTATATATTACGGATGTAAATTGGAAAGAATTCTACTATATCTATGTATTTATATACATCATTTATTGCAAAATGTGCAGCTATAAAGATAAATTGCTGTATTAATTAATTTTGTTGTCACTTTAATTTTTGTGGGTATATTATTAATGTTACCTGTTAGTTGATTACAAGTAATTATTATATTATTAATTATTATATATTATTATCTGTTAGTTTATTATCAAATAAAATTAATGATGGTATTATTTTTCAAAATTCTTTTTGTCGACTCTCTGATTGCTGCTACTTTGTGAATGATAGCAATATAATGGTAGATTTCCTTCTGTTTTCAATTATTCTCGTGCACAATAATTGTCTTATTGTTCGAAATTTAGTTAAAATAACTGACTGGTTAAAATATCCCATAACGATATTTTCTTAAAAATAATTTTAGTGATGTAAGTATAATTTCCCTATATAATAATTTGAAGATTTTTAAATGGGATTTTGGCAATGAAATAAAGAAAACAATATGAAAAAGTGAAGTTTCATGTGAATGGAAGTAATACAGAGAAAGAAATTTTTAGGATAAAATAATAGTGGAGGTATTCCAATAATGGAACAAAAGAAAGAAATGTCAAAAGTTTTGCCATTAAAAAAATAGCAAGATTATGAGCATAAAATATTTTTGAGGGAAAATACTTTTTTCATGTTAATTGAACTACTTTGACTTTTCTCTCCTATCATTAATACAATTCTATTTTCGTTTGTCACTTGATAGTCATTCGATTATTTTATGTAATTATTACGTTTGGTAAATGTATCATCATGTATATCGTTGATGCATCGTATTGTCTTTCATATTTTCAGGAAAATTGACAAGAATTACAATTTGATATATATCTATTCATTGACTGATATTGAATAGATATAATTTTACAAGTGTGACATTATTTTCTTAAACGTTAATATCTTTTTTTGTTTTAGTAACGAACGACAATTTATTAATTTCGAAATTTACTATTCTATTGGAAAATGATGTTTTAAACGCTTTTATTGTAATGTAAAGTGCAGTGTTGTAAATTCGTGTTTTAGGAAAGCAATATGTGT